TTTCAGAAGCTAAAACTGAATGGAGGTCTGAGTTGTGTTGTTGTTTTAGCCTTCTATATACTAGGAAAAGCATTTCAAAATAGTCCCTAGAGGTGGTGGGGTTTGGTTTTTGTGTTTTTTTTTTTTATGGTGAACATTACAGGAGCTAAAATTTGTACCAGTGGTATACCTTCTGAGCTCCTGATATTTTATTTCTTTTGTGAAGGACTTCTTGGACAGGGAGGGACTTCAAGTGCATTGAAGCAGGCAACAGATAAAATCTCTGTAGTTAGTCTCTCCTGCCAGAGGTAATGTGGATAAGTAAGGTGACACGTAGAAATCTAATGTTTCAAGTAATGTGTGTGTATTGTGCCATGTGAGGTACACAGTGCTGATCTAGGTGAGACAATTTTAGTTAGGTCTTGCTAAAGTAATGTGAGTTTGCACTCGAGTCTTTCTGCCTACTCAGAGTGAGATGCTGTACAGTAGAGCACAAACAAAGGTTTGCATCAAACTGGATGAAATAGGTGGCATAATGAATAAAATGGAAGGCTTCAACAGATACTTAGTTCTTCATTTTTGTGTGTGTGTTTTGTTTTTGTTGTTCTTTTTCAGTGGGAGCTTACAGTGCAAGACAGGATACCTACCAGGTGACATTTTAAGCCCATATATCTTTGTTGTGAATAGCGGTTAAAAAGGGTGAGGGGAATCAGTCCAAAGAAAAGCATATTTCCCTTCCCAATTATTTTAAGTATTATTTAATTTAGCCCTTTATTTCTTTCCGTCCTTTCAGGAGCCTTTAGGGTTATACAAGTAGAGCTGAAAAAGCATGAGACATTACAGCAACAAGATGGATTAATGAGATTTGTTTTACTTCTCATTGAGGCTTACTGCAGGTCTGGTTGCAGTCAGAGGAAAGGTGTACTTCACTGGTTTTATTACCTACTTGGCTTATAAATTCCTTCAAACAGTGCTGGGCGTAATAGTAAGTAGCCTGATTAGTCCCACTGAGGTCATGAGATTACTTATAACCGTAAGTGCTGATTTCAGTGGTGCTTGCAACATGCTGTTAATGTGTGAATTCCTCAAGCAGGTGGTCGTCTTTTCATTTCTTGTACAGAACTGAGCACGTATTTAGGGCCAAAATCAGCGTGATTAAATTTGTAAGTCTGCCTCATCAATAGAGAAACTGAGCACCTGTAAGTCATCAGATGAGAAATTGAGGCCTACAAAAGGCTCAGAGCAGGGAGCCAGTTAGAACAGCCACAGTAGGCGCATGGACTTTGGTAGAATTTCTTTTGGCAAGTGATATGTACGACACTGGCGATTTAGTCTGCAGGGAATGGCAGACTTTTGATGACAATGTAGTTTAGACTGATATAATTGAAAGTAGGCAGGGCAAGTTTAATTGAAAGGTTTTAAATGCACATTTCAAATTTTTGGATGGACATCATATGCATTTATGAGCAAGCCTAGTTCTTTCAGAGAGAAATGGATGAAAGGAGTTATCTTTTTTTTTTTTTTTTGAAAGTGTCAGTTGTAGCTAGACAGAAGGTGTCCAAGGCTGGCTTGATTAGGGAGTGTTGTACTTTAAGATCCTGGTTTTGAATAGCATGGTGAAAAATAGTAATTTATCTTTTAACATATATATTTCCCTTATCATCCCAGACACTAAGAAGAACTAAGGACACTTTGAATATTTTGGCGCTGCCTTGAACCTTTCATCAGAAGTGGTCTCATTTCTTTAAATACTCTCACATTGTGCAGGTGATGGCTGTCAGAGAGCATTAAGACTGTAGTTATTCTTTTTAATGACGAGAAATTGAAAGATCATAGTTGGATACGAGTTTCACCAAATGCTTGTACTGTACTCTGAATTTGTCTTTCTGGTTCCTCTATCTGCGTTTCTTATTGGGTTGATACCCATCTTCAAATAACATTGGCAATACAATATGTTTAGAAATGCTGCTGTGACTGTAGGAGATAAATTTTTCTGCTCTCTGGCTGAGCTGCAGTAAGAAGGGGTAAGATGATGTTCATTCCCTCATGCAAGTTCAAAAGGAAGCAGCCTCTGCACTGTGAGCCGCTGAGTTCATGCTAATGGTGACTTGAGTGGTAAAACCCTGAACGTGCAGCTGTGAACTGCTGTCCTGTGGATAGGCAGCTTAATTATGGGCATTCTGGCATGCTGAAAAAGCACCTGTAGAGGATGGCGAGGAGCTGGCTCAATAAGAAGTTTGTAGACTACTCAAATGGTAAAAACAGTTTTACTTAGCAGAAGTGCTCATACGCTTACGCATATGCTTACGCATACGCTTACAAAGTGCAATATTTGGGCGTCCTCTTTTGTATTTCCTTCTGTCAACATGAATCTTGTTTTTGACTTGTTCTGTGGGATGAGTTGAATGTGAAAGAAGGGATTCTTTATTTCTGTAAGCAATTTGTCCTTGATCCAAGGACCTTTGGGATTAATGGTACTCTTTATTTGTTACCTGATATGGATTGGTACCCATTCAAAATGTTAAGGTGAGTCATGCCAGCAGATGCAGAAAAGAGCAAATTTTCTTTTTCTTTTTCTTTTTCTTTTTCTTTTTCTTTTTCTTTTTCTTTTTCTTTTTTTTTTTTATCAGAAAGGCCACTCCACTGTCTAAATCTTCCTGTTTATACATAAAACTAATAAGCAAATATGCAAATATGATTGAAGATGCTGTAAAAAGAAAAGCCATAAAATAATGTCTTGTTCACTTTCTGCCCCATAATTGTAACTTTCCTGTTTTGTTTTCAAATTTTGAAACCTATGAAACCTAGATAAATATGTCTTTTTGTAATTTCTTACAAGTTTTTAGACTTATTATGAATCAGGAAAACACAGGAATCCATGATATAGCTATCTGTGGTGACTGATGAATTAATGCTTTTCATGCTTAATAGAAAAGTGTCAGTGGCATGCAGTTTGCTCAAGAAGGTAAACATCTACTCTGTAATTCACAATGTGTTTAAAACAATTATTCTTTATCATTAAAGTTCATAATATGCGCATTAACCTCTGATGTACTTTGAATCAATATTGCAGTTTGGAAGATGTGACCCCTGGGCAGCTTTGTCTAAATATTGATTTCATTGTCATTTGTATAAGTATGAAACAAATTACATGCCTTTCTAATATCATTAATGTAGCCCCACTGAGCTACTGAATTTATGGCTTCTTAAAATACATGACATAGCATTACAGAATTATTGAGGACACTGTGAGATACAATTGCTTAGCATGCTAGATTTGATCGTGGAAGGCCAATGCTGCCACTCAATAACTTTCAAACACTTTGCTGGCCAAGGAGTCCAGAGACAAGGATGAGCCACTCTGTAGTTTGCAGCTTGGCTGTAGCCTTTCATTAGATAAAGTTCCCCTGGGTTCTGAGAGCAGCAATTTATTCCACAGCTTTGTACTAATTTATTTGCAGCCTTTAAATGAAAATAATGCGTACACTTGTATTCTGTGCCAAAGACAAAGGTAAGCAGGCATGAAAGTCAAGCAGACTAGGAGAGTCATCGCTGTGCTTTGCTTAAACTTACCTGTGAGGTTGCTAGTAGTCTGGGAGCTTGGTTTGCTAATAGGTAGGATACAAAATGATGGATACAGCATCAGATCATACTTTTCAGTTGGTGGTGGAAGTCAAAATAGAAAAAATGAGGGACACCATCTCGCTGTGCTCTTAAGTAACTATATTTGTCATTACTGGCCTAATTTGAAATACCAGTTATTCGCTCCACACTGAGTTTCTTCTGTTCGTTGGCTCTTGCAAATGCCTTCTCATTGTTCCTTTTGTCTTTCTACCTACTACTCCTTTTGTACCTCTACCTCAAGTCTTCCTCACAACACTTTCTTTCTCCTTTCAGTATATTTTGGGGTTTTGCAGAGTCTTGTCCTTTATGCCTTCACTTTTCCATTTATGCAAGTAAACTGCTGCTAGGCATCAGACTTGCACATCTCTTTCCTTTCTTCTTTCCAAACACGAATCTTGGCCTTGTGGATATCAAAGAGACACCTCAATGTAACTTTTCAATTTTATCCCTCTACTTTTTGCCCAGTTGATTTCTCTTGCCATCTGTTTCATATCTACAAACTGTTATTTTTTTTGTTGTTGGATACAAGTTACTTATTTCATATTTGTGGGGGGGTCACCCCCACCAATTTTCCCCATTCTTATCCTCTAAAACAAGCAAACTTCCGTCTTTAGTCTACTGATGCCACTTTCATTATCTATATAGCACATTTCCAAAGCAGTATCTTCATGTTTTTTTCTGGGATGATTTTGAATCTGAGGGACCTTCTTGTAAATACATGCAAAGCCATTTTGTTGTGCTGCAGTGTATACAGAGATCTCAACAGTATTTGAGCTTCTGCTTTGTCAAGGCAGGAGCCCATTTTTTTCCAGTTGAAATTGTCTCACCGTTTAATTGTACTTTTCCATTTTCTCTGGTCTTAGCTATTTATGTGATGTTGTAAGGTATCATTTATATGATGCCTTTAAAACTTTTTAATTTGGGGGGGAGGTTTGTACAGCATTATTTAATATATATAGGGATAGTAATCTTTGAGTGTCATAGGTGTGATGTTTTTACAAATACTGTGGAATAATATGCTTCCTGCATTTCAAAGTGCTCTAATTATGTGATCATTACAGTCAATGTAAGATTGTCACTATTAAGGCTAAATTCTTGTAGCTGCCTCAGAAGTGTGCTTGACTGTTTTTATCAGGGTAGTCCTATTTGTTCTTTTTTATTATTATTCTTTTTTTTCTCCCCTAAGATGCACTTTTTGTGAAGAACGTTAATAGATTGCAGGAATGAACAATCCGTTATTTAGAACATAATGCAGACTGTTGGACTTCTCTGAATTATTTTTTGTGTGTGAATTACAATGTAGCTTAGAAGGAAAAAAAAATCTAACTTTGATTTAAAACTTGCCCATGGTGAGCTTCATCAGTTCATAAATTTTATTCTGAATTCTCTTTTTACAGGTAAAAGTGATCCATTTTGCGTAGTTGAATTGAATAATGACAGACTGCTGACACATACTGTCTACAGGAACCTCAATCCTGAATGGAACAAAGTCTTCACATTGTAGGTGTTTGGATTTTGTGGGCCTTTCTCTTTTTTCTCTCTCTCTTTTTGGAGGGGATGTGTATGCAAATCAAAGATACCTACTGCTAATTCACAAGAACTAAGACATACTGGTATTTCTAAACCAAACGGCTGAATACTTTTGAGGGGATTCAGTAAATAAATAAAGAAAGAAAAAGAAAATAGCTATGACTGGAGATGAGAAGTGTTGAAATGACAAGTGCTGAGCCTGAGCAAAATCCTGCTAGCTTCAACGAGCATTTGGATTGCTCATCACAGTGGATGAGCTCCTGATGCTTTTTGGGGGAAAATAGGTTATGAATTTCGTTAAAATCATTTGTTTTAATGAACTTTAGCTAAATATATACCAAAAAAAAAAGATTAAATGCCATTATATTTTTCTAAAATATATTCCTTGTATTTGGCACTTTTCATTTGCCAATTGCACTTCTGTCAGCATCGCCCGGTATCCTAATAGTGCAGTCCTGCTATCAGGTTAAAGTTGCCTTAAGCATTCAGTTTATGGGGAAGTGATGCAGTCATGTTTTTTTTTTTTTTTCCTGACAACAGTTAAAGATCCTGACAAAGCAGAAAAAACTCTGCCACAAATGTACCTTTTATTTCTTTTTCACTCATCTCTGTTTTCCTCCACTTCTGTCTGATTGCAATGTGACAGCAATGAGTAGAAAATGGATCAGCTGTAGATTTCTCTGGTACTGAAATGAGCTAACTGTTCCCCATAAAACCAGTGAAATTTTTAGCTTAGTGTATTTTTCATGTGGTCATAAATGAGAATATTATACTCTACTCTTGATCCCCAAACAGTGTTTGATGCCGCCCCACACACCTTTGTCCATCGTCTGCTTGGCTGCAGGATGTGTACGGCACAGCTTTCCTGCCCTGCAGTGGGCTCACAGGAATGAATTCAGAACAAAAGGAAAATCCCACTACAATTGTACTTCTCCTTAGGCTCTTATCACCTACCAAAAACATAACCAAAACTTTCATTAATTTTCTTTTAATTAGCTGCTAAGAGAGGCAGTAACTTATCAACCTCTGCTGCTGGACAGTGTTCTCTGTGTAAGGAACTGCATGGTTCTGCAGAGGACAAAAGACTAACAGGAAATCAAATGGAAAAAAACTACTACTAGGGAGAGCTTTCTCCTCTTTAATTCATATATCTTCAAACTCTGTTTTTCTTATCCTGAAATTTGTCAAATAATTTTTGGGCTGGAAATGCAGTTTTACTTAGGGATATATGGGTTTTACTGAAGTTGTATTGTTTTGCTTCAATTCTTTCTTTTTCTTTTTTTTTTTCAGCAGTTTGATCAAAAATGAGTCCTCTCAAACAACTTTTGTTTCTTTTCCATGAATGGAGGGTGAATTTTTCTCTTATGGATTGACAGTATGTGGGTGATACTTAACTGTTGCGAAAAAACTTTGGAGAGCTGATGGTCACCCTGAGAATGTGCTCATGTAGTTGGTAGCTCTTTTCACGTACAGGCCCAGACACCCCCTGACTGCAGCCAGATTTACCCCGAGGGTGGCAGCATCTAAGGGACAGTCCTTAACGGCCCTGGCCCTGCTGCTCGCCTCCATAAATCCCATAGTGCTCTGTGCTGGCGCTGCCTGTGGCTGGTGCAACACAGTGCTAGGTAGCCACAGGATTTAAAGAAACAGCTTCTGGAAACTTGAGTGTTTGGTTATACTGAGGGTCACTTTATTTACCTTTGTTCTCTGTTGTGGCTTGAGAAAACACAGGGGTATCTGTTTTTGCTAACCTTTAATGCTTTTGTCCTTGATCACTGCTGCTGTAGGTGACTCTCCCCTTTTTTTTTTCTTTTTTCCTTTTTTTTTTTGGCAAAGTTGCCATACCACTGCTGTCCGTGAGTCTCCTTCACCTGCCACGCTGCTGCTCTGCATTTTCCCCGCCGGAGAAGGAGGCAGTGGGAAGCGGGGGCGGGGGGGTGGAACTGCAGCTCCATTGCCTGTCATTTCTCCACCAAGGGTTGTAATAAGAACACTAAAAAATTTTAGCATACTCAATTCCCGGCCATGTTGAATCCCATGATAGTTAATTTTTCCTGACAGACTGGGTCCTGGTAATGAACAGGTACTTGTCAGACTTGCCACAGTTGTTTTGGGTTCTCTGTCAGTTCCAGCAGCTGGGGGTCAGGGGTCGGCGCGGGGGGGTATTCAGCGGAGACCGCCAGACAGACGGCTGTCATGTCCTTTTCCTGCAGATTCAAAATGGTCAACAGAAAGCGTACGTCTTGAAAAACAAGCAGCTGACAGGGCCAACAAAGGGGGTCATCTATCTTGAAATAGATGTGATTTTTAATCCTGTAAGTCTTAACTTTGCCTTTTTTTGTGCCGCTTAAAGAGCTCCCTTCCACGAAAGCTTTTGTTCCCTGTTTGTAGAGAATTTCTGTCACCCCTCATTTTTTTATTCGCTAAACCGCGCCGTCTGCTCGGGCCCGCTCCCCTGCGTGGCCCGTCTCAGCGCGCTCCGCGTTGCCGAAGCCGGCGCTCCTGCCTGCCTGGTGCCCCGGCTGCTCGGCAGCCGGGACTCTGAAACTCCCAGATTTTTGCCACTTGAAGAAAGTGGGACTAGGAAGTCACGGCCTGAAATACTGACATGGGTTTCAATGCACAGGTGAAAGCCGGCATACGAACCCTAATGCCCAAAGAGCAGAAGTACATCGAAGAGGAAAACAGACTGTCCAAACAGGTAAAGGGCAAGGGAACACTCATCCTCTTGAAAAGACCTAATGTCGAGTGTGCACATCTCAATAGCACCTAAGAAGCTGCTAGAGGTAAAGAATAATGATTCCCTCACCAGTTTACAAAGGGGAAAAAAAAGCATGATACCTAGGAAAAGGCAGAAACAAAATACAGGGGCTTATTCTCTCTCCTCTTTATAAATTGCAGCTTGATTTCCATGAAATACATGAATAAGAGCACAGTTGAAACCCTCAGGTTCCACATGGATCAGGTGATAGCACAGGTGCATGTAAACCAAGTCTTGCATAAATTTTTGCTGTTAACCTTGACCTGAAAGATCTCTCTCTTTTTTTTTTTTTTTTTTCTTCAACGGTAAGGGATCTTTCAGCATTCTTTTAGCCAAATTTTAAATAAGCAAGGTTTGAATCTCAGGTGGCAAAAAAAAAGGAAAAAAACCCTGAAACAGGTTGTTTATTCTTTGGAAAGCCACTTGGGTTGAAAGTCCTTTGAACTGGATTGAACCTTTTTTTTTTTTTTTCCCTCTCCCTCCCACCTAGATGTTTTTGTCTCTAACAGTTCTAATATTTTGATTAAAAAAATATTTAAACACACATCTCCTCTTTTTCTCCCCTTTTACATGCCATGATTGAGGCATTTTATCTGGGGGTAACTGGTCCTTTTGATTGTACTGTGGGAACAGGATTTTTACTATTTGCACTGCAAAGGCAGAAAGCTTAAAACTTTTTCTTGCTTTTGCAGCACCCTTATAGAAGTAGCAATGAACCTTTGAACGTGAGTGTAATTCAGATGAACTGCTGGACGAATTTTATTTACATTGCTCAATTTATTTCATTGCAAAGATTTCAGGCAGAATGCTTGCTTTATGGCTGCGAGTAAAGGAGTTGCTAAAGCTGCATTTTTTACCTTTATTCCAACCATGAAACAAGAAGGATTTTCTTCAAGAATCGTTCTTCTCCCAGCTTTCATAGCAGAATGGCATTGTGCTTTCTCACTTTCTTGCAGATGGCAGAGCCATAAACTTTAAATACCCACTTTTTTTTTTTTGATATTAGTTTGTATAGAATATCCCCTCGTAAGCCCACTTAGATTAAGAAAAGGGATCTTTACAGATGCAGCAGTGTTCTAAAATAGCCACATTTTTTGAGAATTTCAAAGTGTCTTGTGTAGCTAGCACTGTGTGTGCTGTCCAGTATACAAATTAGAAGATTCACTGGTTTGTTCACTTTTTTTTTTTTTTTTTTGTTTCTTTTTCCTTAATGAATTGAAGTTTATTGCCGTTTTGGAGGATTTAAGAGTATTCTTCCAAAATTTATCAGCTCAATTTATCAAGACATAAATGCATTATTTTCTCCATCTTTACCTAAAGTGGCAATATTTTTAGGCATACCCTCTTGTGAGCCTATTGGGATTTTAAAATATTTTCTTTTTTTTCATCTTTTTCATAGCTGCTGCTAAGAAACTTTGTCCGTACGAAGCGTTGTGCCCTTGTGGTCATAAATGCTGCCTATTACGTTAACAGCTGCTTTGACTGGGATTCACCTCCAAGAAGTCTTGCTGCTTTTTTGGTATGATCTTTCAACACTTGTTTTCTTTTAATGTCATCAAAATGTATGTGTTCTAGAATGAGATGTGTTGTGGTAGTGATGGGGAGTTATTTCTTTTGTTTATTTGCCTTATGAAGTTATTTCACATCTTTATTCATATTAAAAAAAAGAAAGTTTAAAATGTTATAGGAAGAAGAAATAAAAAGTTGCTTTGCTTTGTAGTAAGGTGTTTGATACAGTTGACAAACACATCTTCATCTTCTTACACACTGTTTCTGTTGCTTTCTGTCCAGTTTGCTTGCAATGGCCCCCTTAAAAGACCTAAAATCAACTATTGTTTTTCTTTTTTGTCTTTTCTACTTTTTTTTTCTTTTCTTTTTAAAGAAGTACAAAAGTGGACGTGAGTCCCTTTTTTTTTTTTTGGTTAAAAAAGGCAATCCAAAAATTCTAAGTGGAATCCAGCTAGTACTCTTTTAAAAGTCAACTTTTTGTCATAGCTCAGTGTTTTGGGTTTTAAAATAAAATATTGTTGTTACACAAACATTAACTTAATTAATATTAGCCCTTTTAATTATGGTAAATTTGGAAAATTTGCAACTTAATTGCAGATTGTATTTCCCAGGTAAGTGTCCTTCTGTATTCAAAATGATGTGCGCTGCAAAGATGACTGCTCTTGCTGTTTCATTTTGGCTTGTATGACTTTTGCCATGAGTAAAAACACACTTTCTGAAACATCTGCATTTACGAAGTTGGCAGAAATACTGAAGTTTAGAGTATATCCACCATATATGTGGCCAACAGAGAACGTCACTTGGGGTAATTGCAGTGCAAGCGTGGTGACCACGCTCCTAGCTTAGGTGCCTGGAGTTTGAATCAATCAAACCAGGCGTTGGAGCTGCCTTAGCAGCAAAATCCAAGTGCTTTGGACCTTCAGCAAATCATGCTCTTTGGCAGGAAGCTTCTCCCAGCAGGGCCTAATTTGTACCAAGTGACAGGTTAAACTCCTCTCAGCCTGTCAAAGGATAGCAGCAAGTTTTCAAGTGAAGGATGCTGTGGTATTCATCAAGAGTACAGGTGATATACTTGCTGTTCAAATGGTCCTTCCTTTTTTGTTTCCCCTCCTTTTACTGATATATTGATGTCCGCGGTCACTCGATTACCTGCAAAAATGTAAATATACTTGCTGCTGTTTACGTTAGAGGGATGGTCTCTTTCACCTGTGTTTCTAGTCGTGTTTCTACGTATGTTTCTGCTCAAATGTCCATGTTGCTTTTACTGGGCAGAGTAGTAAATGCTCATCAGTCCGGTTCTGTTTTTAATATGGTTGTGAAACACTTGTCTGTTATCAGCAGGAGAAAGGGAAGTGAAGTGACATCCTGTGCTTTGTGGCAGGTGAAATGGTTTCTTTCTCATGGTGCACTACTGTGGCCACAAAATTAAGCCATGATGCCATTAAATCATAATTGTTCTGATTACAGAACAAATTCAGGGTCGTAACAAATGCAAACACATAACGCAGAACTTTTGGAGGCCATAGCAGATATACTGCTTACTGTAGTTACAACTGCAAGGATCAGAGCATCCCTCTCTTTAACAAACTGTTTGTAGCCTAAGTTTTTATTAGGTAAGCCAAATCTGCATGAATTTCTACCATGGTTGCCAAGACAGGGAAGATCGGGGTTTTGATGGTTTCTGGAGTTTTGCAGCTATAAGGTGCCCCTGAAACATCCTGCATCTTTCTTGCAATATTTGCATGTTTAACACTGAGTTATGCTGATACTAACATTATGCTGGAATTCAATAGGCTATGTAAAAATGTTGAACTTACATGTATCGTTTTCATCTCTTCACTATTACACAAATGATGCAGCTTCTTGAAGTCATCTCCCAAAGATTACAGAATGTCACAGTGAAATGTCAGTGCCAGAAAAGAGAGGAGAAATTGGCCCTTTTATAGGTTTCCAGATCTGTAGGCAGACTAATAAATAATGTAGTAGTAGAAAACTTTTCAGTTAGCCATTTCTTCTTTCATGGTGTGCTTAAAGATGCACACTGAATGGCATTATAATGCCAATTTATGGTCATTTCACATAATATAGGGTTGTTTTTTCAGATCTTGTATTGCCCTCAAATTCTCATCCTTAAAACCATTGGTACCCTTTTCTCTTACTTCACCCCATGTCTTTACTTCTCAGTATACCACTCAGTAATGATCACTGCCCTGTACTAAGCAACAGCTACCTGCTTTGTGCTTTGCATAGTGAAGTGCTCACTACAGCTTTTCTTAAGGTCATCCTTCTTGAGTAGTCTCAACATTTATAGATTTAAAATGATGTGCTTTATTAAAATGCTATTATGGTGCCCTCTATTTTTTTTTTCTCAAAGGAATTTAAAGGTACCAGCTCAACCACTGGTGTTGCATGTTCTGTCTAGAGATCTGGGAGTTAAGTTTTTAAATTTGTGATGAAACATTTCCTGGACTAAACAGTATATGACCAGTCTCTTTTGTATTTTGTAACCTCATTGCCTTCACTGGTGCCTATATTATTAAGACATTGTTTTTCAGGTATTCCAAAGCATTTGCGAGTAACTTAGGAAATATAGAGGTTGATTGTGGCTAGAATGATATGACCTTGGATCTGAAATGCCAGGAGACTTGATATTCTCTTCCCACCCTTTTCTTTGTATCTATTCTTTTCTGTTGGAAAAAAAATACAGCTGTGAATAGCAACAATGTTAAATAAACATTTTGGTTCCAAAACCTTTTTTTTTTTGTTTTAATCTTATGTAGCCCTGTTGTGCCTAGAGGCTGATCAAGAATATGCAACCTTTTTGTGTTTATGCTTCTTAAGCATCTAAACACAGTGAAAAGAACAGAATATATAGAGAGAGCATTTGCTGTACATTCATTCGATTTTATGTATTTGAAACAGGTTTTAGGAATTTTAAAAGTTTTTTTTCCTGTTTTCTCTTAATTCAGCAATTAATATGGTATGTTTCATGCAGAAGAACTATGCTAGAGTGTGCAAAAGTGGATTTTTTTTCCTTCATATTAATCAACTGCAAGCACTGAAATGTCTGGTAAATTGGGCCTAATTTCCATCAGCCTCTTGACCAGACATTTGTGTTCTTGCAGATGTCAGTGGGTGCAATGTATGGGGTGGGGGAGAGAAGTGTACGCTCTCTTCTCCAGTACTGTCATTTCTCACTGTAATGAGCACAAAAATAATTGGACAACTGAGCTATCAGTAAAAGGACACACTTCAACATGAGTCAATGAATTATTTTACGGGACAAACTTTAATCTTTAAATGTGATTGTAGATAATTTGTGCTACCATCTGTCCATTTGGAATTCTTTTAGCCTTTTCAGTCGTTATACAGTAAGTGCTGCTGTGTTTAACATTAACATTTGATATTTTACACATTTAATTTCTGTACTGCTGCGTGGCCCTTGGGGAGCTTCGCTCTAGTGCTACATGAGAGAGACAAAGTATTGATCAGTTAACATTTCGGCTACATTTATGTATGTCGCAAAATTAATGAAAATGCCAGACAAAAATGTCAGAGTGCACAAAAAGGTAGAATTTAAATTTGGTAGTTTAATGAAAAGTTTAAGATGTACATTATCAAAAATGTCCCCTTGCCTTTAAAGTACAATTCATAACTGAATAACTAAAGGGAGCCACATATTTTACTTAGAGGAACATTGAGCATGACATATGAGGGAATATCTAATCTTCAAAGTCTTTGGTGTCCCAAAATGGCCTCAGTAAAGCACTTTAATTGCCTGCTTGAACATTTACCTGTTACTCATAAAATAAACTTGTTTTTTTTGTTGTTGTTTGGAAGCAAAGTACCTTTGTCCGATCAGACATGTGCTTTTCAGTGTTTCTTCAAGTTAAAGCTTTCTGTAACATATTCTTCTTTTCTTGTTATTATTATTCCTTTCAATCTTTCTATACCTCTGTATTTGTGTATACAGAAAATATTTTTCTTTCTTGGGCTTTGAAATATTGATAAAATGACTCAACCCTACATCCAAGTCATTTGTCAGGTCTAACTCACCTTCACTTTGTCTTCTGATGTTACACAATTCATGTGTGAATATGGCATAACAGTCTCCCCAGCCGTTGATTAAATGTTGTTTCTCTTGTATATATACACCATTTAGAAGTGGAGTGATGTTAATTAATCACAACCAAAAAGGAAGCAGAAGTAAGATTAAAAAGATGGTCTTTTGTAGAAAATGGGACATTAAAGTATTTTTATTTATTTATTTATTTATTTTTGAAATCCTGAAGGCTGAAATATTTTGCAAGGGAGTTGATAGGGCACCGTAAGGAGTGTGAATGTGCTAGTGTGCTTATTAATTATTACACAAAATGCAGGATGACAAGAATTCTGCAGATATTTTACAAGTATATGTAAGAGCTCATAGGTATTTCCATCAGCAATGCCATTTTTGAGGGGATGACATAAACACTGCTTTTTACTAAACCTGCCTGAGGCATTCCATAAGATCAAATGTGATCCATCCTTGCCACCTGTTGTCCAGAATTTTAAATTAGAGGTGGTGCTGGTATAGTGGCTACAGAAACTAAAATCCTAAAAAAGCCCTTCTAAAAATTCCTGTTGCTGTCAATGCTCTCTGCTCTCAAAAGAGAGCTTTGCAAAGGCAGAGTGACAAGGCAGGGGCAAAGCCAGGTACAAAATTCATTTCTGATGCAAGGCACGCACAGCACAAGGGTCTTTCAGCTTTTTGTCAGCTGCATCTTCATCAACCACGAAGAGATGAACTATACCAGGCTGCTGTGCTTTTCTTCTTGTAAAAGCAAAGCAGGCCAAAAAAGAAAAGATAAAAAGAAAACAAAATAGAAAACCCACACAACAATAACCAAACCAAAACAAACAAACAGTCATTTCAAACCTCTTTCCTCCCTCTTGTTTTACCATGAACCAGCAGAAATAATGTGGGCTACTACAGTGGCATTTGAGCTTTCTGCAATGCTTAGCTTTACC